AGAGCCGAGAGTCAACATTCCAAGTTAAAGAAATTTTATAAACTCATCAAATTCTAATCTCGATAAATTCGTGCAACAAATAATCAATCCGTGCAATCGCAACTTACTTCGATCAACGAAATCTTTGAAAATAGCTTGGTGTTCGGTACAATCACCACAACTTGTCATGTTTCCAATTGCTATGGGGCCATGTTTCAAATGAAGCTTTAGATATAATATTAGGAGAGATCCAAAGGTTGGGTGATTTAATGTTAGACTCCTCAAATTATGGTTGCAAACTCAATTCGTAATAGTTGTGGGTTACCATGTGCTTGCATGCTTTCTTTCTACTCCATTTCAGGTTAGTATGTCAACTACAACATACAAATAGATTTTTAAATATTGGATAAATAATTATTTTATATTTCAATGCATGTGAACATATACCCTTGTATTCAATAGATATCTTTTGGAGGAAGCTTGATATTTCAGATACGACGTCTGTAGTAGACGATGATATTAATTGTGATGATGTAGTGGATAAATTAAAAGAAAACTTCAATAAACAATCAAAAGCCGGGAAAATGTTTTATAGGAGAAAGCTAGAAGAGATATATGATCCGCATAAAACTGATGTTGGAGAACATACGGTTAAAAAACACGCGTGGACACCATGTGTGAAGAAACAACAGAAAAAGAAAGCCAATCCGCCAAATTATGCTCCTCGTAGATGCAGCTTCTCAACCACATCAAAGTTTAATGGGTGGATTTAAATAAAGAACCTGAAAGGCATAGCTTTTCATGTGGGATTGACTTAAATGATGAACCCCAAAGGCATAGATTTTCGTGTGGGGTGACTTAAATAATTAACCCCAAAGGCATTATCCATTCCAAATGAGGTATTCCAGATATATTTCATGATTACATTGACGATATACATGATGTAGAAGGTGATGGAAATTGTGGGTTTTGAGCGGGTAGCTGTTTTTTTGGGGTATATGTAACATCGTAATTTTTCAACAAATTTTCCATTTTAAAATCACATAACTCATCCACTTTCACACATTTCACAAATACCCATTGTCAAATCATCGAAAACACATATTCATAATTGTTTGAATAAAATCCCAGGATCCTCAAAACATAACTCCATCTCGTGTGTACAATCAAGCCGGCGCCTTCCTGCGATCCTGAGAGTACCTGAAACACATCACATAACACGGTAAGCACGAAGCTTAGTGAGTTCCCCAAAATACCACACACATCTCATTTGCCTCTCATGGCTATACTACTCGAATAAGAACCTCTTGTCAATTGTCCAGTGAAACCCTCCGGTCCCACAACTCGGGTGACCCTCCGGTCCTAACTGCAGTAAAGCTCAGAATAATACACAACATAAATCACAAAGACATAATGCAGGATATCACAATACTCATATAAGCATACAAGACCCTCTGGTCGCACAAAGTTACCACTCATGGTAAGTTATAGTGAGAAGACTCACCTCGTAAGCAATTAAATAAACCTCGTACACGAATCACCGATCTAGCCTCCGCCTAACACATATGATAATTATCTCTAATTAGCACTTCGATCACAACTCTAAATAAACAAAGCTATTTTCTCTCTCTAAATCTTGGGATGGGTAAAAGACCATTTTACCCCTCATGGTTCCCATAATCCATGTCTTGACCAAACCCTAAAGTCAACTAAAGTCAACACTCGAGTCAACAGTCCATGTTGACCCGACTCGTCGAGTGCATCTCTGTGACTCGTCGAGTCCCCTCGTTTTTTAGAAATGTCGCGGAAACCCATATTAACTCGTCGAGTTTGTCTCATCAACTCGCTGAGTTACTCATGTCCAGACTCGTCGGGGAAAGCCTAGCCGACTCGTCGAGTTGGCTCATCAACTCGGCGAGTCCCTTAAGTCTCTTTTTTCATTCAGATGTTTAAGGCAGATTCACAACCCCAAACTCTAGATCTAGCCTCCCAAGGCTGAGATACCACGTAAAGCTTCAAGCTTTACGTTCATGCATTGGCATATAGGACTCAAAATGCCAAAACAAGCTCCATAAAGGTCTTTACGCTTGAAGACCTGCCCAAAGCTTGATAAAGCTCGAAACTTTGGGCTCATAGGGACTCATATAGCTCAGATATGTAGTCTCAACTCCCATGACCAACTCAACAACTCCAAACCAAAACATGATGGATAAAAGCCCTGAAACTCTCTAGAAAGAGATCTAACAAAAGGAACGATCAATGAGATAGCTTTTTACCTCCAATTGACAGCTAGCACCGAAAGAGCACTGGATCTAAAGCTTCTTCTCGTTCCAAACCTCCTTGCTCTTCAATCCTCTTCTAAAAATGCACTTGAACCAAGATCTTTAGCCTTTCTCTCTCTCTCTCTCTCTCTTTCTCTCTCTCAACGACTACAACTACAGCTCGTCTAGGGTTTCTCTTAGTGTGTCTAAATGGTCAGGGAGGCAGAAATGAGGGCTTAAGGGCCTTTAAATAGGGTGCAAGCCCTAAAATTAGGGTTTTCTCAATACAGACTCAACTCGTCGAGTTCCAGCCCTTCAACTCGACGAGTAGGCTTCATAACTCGCGTGGCCAGCTCAGCCCCCACACGACGAGTCGGGACCAACCAACTCGTTGAGTAGGTCCTCCAAAGTGTATTAAAACTCTTAAATTTCTCATCCAGGATTCGGGGTGTTACAGTATACTGAAGACCAGTGGCTTATATTTGAAAACAATTGCTTGAAGAGTTAGAGAGTCAATATTGTGCATACCATAGAGTTTTTTTACTGACGGGTTCAATGAGGTATACCATTCATTGCGTTGGTTTTAGTCACCTGCACCTTTTCGGCCACATTAGTTGCATATGCCTTTGACTGGTTACTTGATTGCCAACAAGTTTGGTTTGATCTTTCATTGTTTAAGCCACAAACAATCTACGACATGCTTCCCTCTTTGGAGAGGTCCCAAAGAGTTCCAACTCCAATGAGCCATTACGTTGGCATTTGTAAACTATATTCATTATATGTCGGGTGTTTTTGAAAGGAAATTACCCAATGCCTCCTACCACAACATATTGGAATACCCATAAAAGTCTGTCTGCTACATGGCAAACTATGTATTGGTCGCGTTTTGATTTATACAATAAACTTAGGTCTCGTACTTCTGAAACACCTTGGATACATATTAAAGATTAAGTACAAATGTATTTGAACTTATTATTATTATTTTTTGCGTCAAAATATTATTTTATATTTGAACTTTTTTTATTATTTGTTGCGTTAAAATATTATTTTATTATTGTTGTGTCGTGTTTTAATTTTTTTTTAAATTGAATAAAAATATTTACACATCTTTTATAAAAATAGTATTATAATTATCTATTTATAAATGAAATAAATAATATTTTAGTAAATAGAATTTATAAATACTTAATTTATAAATATGTTAGTATATCCATCATAACCTAATTATTAAAAGTAATATTAATTAATAAAAAATATGTCATCATAATCTAATTATTAAAAAATAATCATTAGGGGATAGTGATAAGTATAAATGGGGTAGGGATCGATGCCCTCCGGATTCCAAATGAATGGTATTCCAAATATATTTCATGATTACATCGACGATATACATGATGTAGAAGGCGATGGAAATTGTGGGTTTCGAGCGCTAGTTGTTGTGTTGGGGTATAATGAAGACCCGTGACTGTATATTCGAAAGCAATTGTTTGAAGAGGTAGAGAGTCCAATATTACACACCATAGAGTTTTTACTGACGGGTTCAATGAGTATACCATCATTGTGTTGGTTTCAGTCACTTGCACCTTTCCGACGACATTGGTTGCATATGCCTTTTACTGGTTACTTTTGCCAACAAGTTTGGTGTGATCGTTCATTGTTTAAGCTACGAACAATCTACGACATGCTTCCCTCTTTGGAAAGGTCCCGAAGAGTTCCAACCCCACCGAGCCATTACGTTGGCACTTGTACACAATAATCATTATATATCAGTGTTTTTGAAAGAAATTACCCAACGCCTCCTACCACAACATATTTGAATGCCCATAAAAGTCTGTCTGCATCTACATGTCAAACTATGTATTGGCCTCGTTTTGATTTATACAATCAACTTAGTTCTTGTACTTCTGAAACACCTTGGATACATATTAAAGATTAAGTGCGAATGAATTTGAACTTTTTATTACTTTTTGCGTCAAATATTATTATATATTGAACTTTTTTTTATATTTGTTGCGTTAAAATATTATTTTTATTATTGTTGTGTTGTGTTTTAACATTTTTATTTTAAAAAATTGTATAAAAAAATTTACACATCTTTTTTAAAATAGTATTATAAATTATATATTTAATAAATGAAATAAATAGTATTTTAATAAATAAAATTTATAAATAATTAATTATAAATATGTTAGTATATCATCATAACCTAATTATTAAAAGTAATATTAATTAATAAAAAATATGTCATCATACTTTAATTATTAAAAAATAATCATTAAGGGTAATGATAAGTATAAAGAGGGTAGGGATAAAATAATGATTTATAATAAAAGTTAGTTAAATAATAATTATATAGTAATGATGACTTCAAATGTAAGATCAATGATACATATATGGTAATAATAACTTTAAAAAAGTAATATGATAAATGTTGTTGGTGTGTGTCCATAATCCATCTCATAATTTCTTTTTATTATCTATTATTATTTTTATTTATCTTTGTTTAGTATAGTTTTTTTTTTATTAATTTCTTTTGAGAAGAGAGAAACGAGAATGAATTTTATGCCGCCGAAAAAAAGTCTAAATTATACTTACCGAAACCATTAAAAAAAAAAACTAATGATAACCATTTCTCCAATTAAAACGAAGATTCCTTTAAAATTGTAACTTATTCTTAAAAGTTAAATTAAAAAAGATTGTTGATCAAGGGCAAGTATGAGAAATCGATATACTTGAAGGATCAGATTCAAATATCCATCCCAACATCACTTCTCAACATAAAACTCTCTCTTGTCTTTAACCTACTTCTGCGACTCTGACTGTCGAAGAACGCCCTCAACCCTCAATGGCGTTATTGGGCGACGACGGACGTGGGTTCGAGCTTGCCCGGAAACTTGAATCTCAAGGCGTCTGGAGATCGTGGATTGGAGATGATTCTCTGCACGCCACCTTCTCTCCATTCTTATCATCGCCGTCTTCTTGGGAATCCTTCATGAGAATCGACGAGACCAAGTCTAGGGCTCAAATTCAACTTCAACTCCGTGTTCGCGCTCTCCTCTTCGACAAAGCTTGCGTCTCGCTTTTCCCTCTGTCCAATCGATCTTCTCCTTCTTCCAATTCGAAGCTCAATCCAAATTGTAAGAATTTCCTGGTCAATGTATTGAAACAATTGCTCTTAAAATTTGGCTGTGAATTGCTCTATAAAATCTCCAGATAGATGTTTTTCCTTGATAAATCAAGCAATTGTCTCGAAATTTTGTTATGATTTTCTTTAATCACATCTCTTGAATCTGGTTATGAATTCTTTATCTTAGAACTATTTTCCACGATTTCTCTAGAACCTGTAAGATTCTTGTAAATTGCTTTGCTTATCGTTTGTCATGATAATTCCTTTTCTGTGAACTGTTATCTTCTAGTAATGTAGTGTGTCGATCTTCACTAGAATCTTAGGGGGTGTTTGGATAGGGAAAAAATAGGCTGCTTATTGCTTAATCCCATTGCTTGTTGCTTAATCCCACAGCAATAAGCAAATTTAAGTGTTTGGATAGGAGTCTTTAAAAATCAGCTTATTGCGGTAGGAATAAGCAAAATAAGCTGATTTTAATAAGCAGGGGGGGAATGCTTATTGCTTATTGCTTATTGGTCATTTTACTCATATAAGCTGTTTTGTTTTTCCAAACACTTAAAATGCATATTGCTTATTGCTTATTCCCACCGCAATAAGCTAATCCAAACACATTTTAAAAAAGTGCTTATTCCCACCGCAATAAGCAAATAAGCAATAAGCTAATAAGCTAAAAACTATTTATCCAAACACCCCCTTAATTCAAATTTTTCATTCGATTGTTTCTTCAGATTTGCAGTTACATGGTGATGATATTTTTTATACTCTAGAGAATCCTACACAAAATGTAGCCCCATCTTCAAAGGTATGTTAGCTCACTCTTCTCTAAAAACAAACCCTCTTTACTTCTGAATTATATAAAATGGAAGTTAACTCAAACTCTAAATCAATTATCATGGTTTCACAGGTTCAACAAAAACCAAACTTGGTATAGGATCTAGATATGGTACATCTGAAGATGAAAATATCTCTCAAAGATGCCCAGAATCATGGTACACTCACTCAATTCTTTGAAAAATACAGAGCCACAAAACCCTACAGATTACCTTCAGGTGACAGAGAATCTGAAAAACGTACACCCGAACAAATGTCTAACTATCTCAAAATTGCCCAAAAGCATAAAAGAAGCCGGGCAGTTTTCATGGAAGAACAAACCCTAACTTCGGGCAGCCCCATGTTTGACTCCGGTCAAGGTCAAACCCCAGATGATGAATTATTTTTCCCCGAAACAATGTTTTCAGCAAACTCAGTTCCCGATAGTGCTTTACCTCTTTCAAATCAATTAGAAAATGTTCACATGGGAAAGTGTAATGGAGTTTTGGACAATTTACCCTTGCCCCTGATAATGACGAAAAGCCCCATTATGTTGGAGAGACTTGGTATAAGGCCAGAGTACCTTAACATGGAGCAACAAGGGGGTCTTGATAGGGGTAAAAATGGAACATTTGGGATGAAAAATGGTTTGAGTTCTCAACAAGCTTCGGAAATGTCTCGACAAATGGTGTCCCGGTTGTTGATTGATGTTGGTTTTGAATCGGCTTCTGGTGGATCATTGGATATATTAGCTCAATTAGTTGGGTGTCATATTTGTAAATTAGGTCGATCTTGAAAGTCCTTTCTGATAGTTACAGAAAAGATTGTTCGGCTATTGGTCTACTTAAGATGTTCCTCCAAACAATTGGACATGGGTACGTGTGATCACATTCTTATTCTTGACTTTTGAGGGCGTTAATGTCTTTTTATGGGACATAAAGTTGCAATTTTTGTCTCATTGACATCAATCTATGTCCCTGTCCCAATACAATGCATGCCAGACACAATACAACTTGTTTTGTTATCAAAATTGAAACTTTTTATTTTGGTTTTTATTATTGTTGACTTTTGAGGGCTTTTACGTCTTTTTGTGGGACATAAAGTTGCAATTTTTGTCTCATTGACATCGGTCTGTGTCCCAGTACAATGCATGTCAGACACAGTACAACTTGTTTTGTTATCAAAATTGAAACTTTTCATTATTGTTGACTTTGAGGGCGTTTATGTCTTTTGGGTGGAGCATAAAGTTGCAATTTTTGTCTCATTGACATCGGTGTGTGTCCCAATACAATGCATGTCAAATACAGTACACCTTGTTTTGTTATCAAAATTGGAACTTTTTATTTTGGTTTTTATTATTGTTGACTTTTGAGGGCGTTTACGTCTTTCGGGCGAGACATAAAGTTGCAATTTTTGTCTCATTGACATCAGTCCCAGTCCATGTCCCAGTACAATGCATGCCAAACACAGTAGAACTTGTTTTGTTATCAAAATTTAAACTTTTTATTATTGTTGACTTTGGAGGGCATTTATGTCTTTTCGGTGGGACATAAAGTTGCAATTTTTGTCTAATTGACATCAGTATGTGGGAAAGTCTGTCAGTACAACGCATGCCAAACACAATACACGTTGTTTTGTCCTGTTTTGTTATCAAAATTGAAACTTTTTAAACTTTTTATTCTTAAATATTTTCCTTTTTTTAATATTTAATTATTCGACATGTTCTTGAATTACTTCAGTAACCTTGCGGCTTTTACCGAGGTTGTTAAAGATAGTTCCAAGAACAACATTCAACAAACACAAATGCAAGTTCAAGCAATGCAGACACAAATGCAATTACAAAGTCAAACTAGAGTTGGTCAACCCCATCAAGTCAGTCAACTTTCAATCTCTACTTCATATACATATAATATATATATTTCATTTCCACATAATAACAATTTTTGTTTATATTTTTTAATAGTTTGCAAGACAAATGCAAACCAAATGGTTCATCCTCTACAACAACAGCAACAGTGGGACCGCATGCGAAGGCGTCAACCTGCAACTCAAATCCTCGTGGTGTTGGTGTGATGAATATGAATTTGGATAATGAAAGTCAAAGGTCAATGGTGGAAGTCAAACTTGAAAATCCATCTGATTTCCAAATGGATAACAACAACAACAACAATAATGGTGGATTTGCAACCATGAATTATCGAAACCCTCAAATGCAATTTCGACAGCAGCAGTTTGCTGCCATGTCAGCGTATCAAGCTCAAAACAATCAGTTTCGACCAATGGCGTCTGTCCAAATCCCCCAACTCCACCCACAAGCTCACTCTCCGTAAGAAAGTTATTAAATTCAAGAAATAGCAACATACTTTTTGTTTTTATTTATCTAAAAAAAGAAAAAGAAAGAATGAGATTGAAGTTTTATTGATTGTATGCAGGAATATGGGAATGATGGTTAGAGCTCCACCTGTGAAGGTTGAAGCATTTCAAGAATTGATGGGTGGAGATTCTTCAATGAAACATGATTCAGATGAAAGTAAACTCACTTCCCCAAACTAATTGACTTTTCAGAATTAAAAAAAAATGTTTTTTAATTATAACTAAATCATGTTGTTAAAATTGTATAAAGGGTCATTAATTGTATTTCTAAACTTTTAGTTGACTTTCAATGTGAATAGTGCTAATTTGTAGTGTATGTGGTTACAAGCTATATTTTTTTTATAATAATATTTGAGATCTTTGTTGTTTAATACACTTGTATATTTTATACCTTTACTTCTACATCATCTATGCTTTAACATCTTGTGCATCATTCTTTATTACTTGCTATATCTTATTCTAAGATTTGTACTCTTTCATTTTATATTATTGTAATGCTTATCCATTCCTATTGCATGTTGTACATGTCTTTATGCATACTTTCATTTAAAATAATACGTTGATCATGATGCTTATAATAAAAACATTTCTTTATTGGGGTTCTCACTTCATGATTGCTTCAGTATTTGTTGGATCGACTTCAATTCAATCTTGTTCATAATATGAGATAAAAGTTATACTTCGCATAACCAAAAGTCACACTTGGAGAATTTCCATATAACCGTTTACATTTCAAAGTTTTTGGTATTTCTTGTAGATGACTTTTATCTTTACATTTCAAAGTTTTTGGTATTTCTTGTAGATGACTTTTATGTTGTTTTTCCTTTCAAGAGTGAACCACTGTGTCATGAATAAACACAATTACCTAATGATGCAAATATGGTTTACAAACTCCATCAATTAGATCCATAAATGTGGCCGAAACATTTATATGACCAAAATACATTCAAAAAAATTCTTAATGTCCGTATGTTGGTCAAAGTGTTGTCCTCTCAATGTCACTTTCTTTCACTTTAGCTTGATGATGACTTGACTCATAGTCAACTTTAGAGAAGTAATCTGCTCCTTGGGTCAACAAATCATCAATACGTAGTAACATGTATTGATCCTTGATCATGACTTTCTTTAGTTCATCATAATCTATACACATACTCATAGTCTTGTCTTTTTTTTTTCCTCATAAACAATATCGGTGCTATGCAAGATGAGGAAATCAGATGTATATACACCTTATTAAAAAGTTCTTGCAGTTGTCACATTAACTCTTACATTTCCATAGGAGATAGTTGATAATGTTTGTGGCTCCCAAAACTATATCACTTTTGAATTCTATTTGTCATTCGGGTGGTATATTAGGAAGGTCAATGGTGATTAAAAGAAGTTAAAGGAAGTACAAAGAGAAATATCAAGTTGAAACCATCCATGGGTGGTTTATGATGAATATGAGTGAGATTAAAAGAAGTTAAAGGAAACAAATGCATTGGGTGTTTATTATCGACCTGATGATTGTTCTACATTCTGTTTTGGAAGTGATTACAAGAGAAATCGGTGCAACTAACAACTTTTTAAGAGAAAAATAATTTGGAAATGAATGATGACAACTCAAAACCATCACATGTTTTGTGTGAACTTAGAGAAACCTCGGAGTGGTAGATCGAGTAATTTAGAAAGACTCTATTTGGCAAGAACTTATCCAGTTAGGGTAAAGTGAAGAATTAAATCCATGTGTTATTTGACGCGTCATCACAAGTCAGGAGATGGAAACAAGCGTATAAGCTTTGATTACCTTTTGAGTTGGATCATGTTCATAACATATTCAACATATACCAATTGAGAAATACACCAACAAGGAGACTGATGGCCCCACCCATGGACTAGTACATGGAAAAGAATGAAATAATGATTGCATGACATGTACATGTCATGAGATGAATGCAAAAGATTTAATATGACGATGAATATCTTGGCCCTTAGGAAACTAAAGCTTGTGTTGGAACTTGGAAGCAATACCATTACTTGTTTTTTTAATCTTACAAGACAAAATTCTCCTAAGTGGAAGAATTGTAACACCCGTGATTTGGAGGTAGACATCTGTAAAATTAAAAATATGGAAAATTCCAGCAAGGGGTTTCAAAGATATTTTATTGTGAAACTTGGTGTTAATAAGTAGGCAAAGTGAGAACTAAGATGAAATATTCCTTATGTGAAAATTAAGTCACGTTGGGAAATTAAAGTACATCACTACTTTGGTACTTAGCCTTAATTGTAATAAAAGGTGTAAAAATTGGTTTATTGTGATAATTGACAATTCGTATGGGGTCTTAGACAAACCAAAGTTTAGTAGTCAAATTGTGAAAAGTGAAAGTCATAAGATAGAAACCCTTCTTTTGTTAGTCTTTTGCGGAAGAAGAGAGATGTGTGTGTTATTTAGATAGAAACACAAAACCACATGTTACTTTATGAGAGTGGCGGATCTATACCAAAAGTGAACTAGGTCCATTTTATAATTTAGAGACGGATTGATAACATCTTTATTTCTAAGCTCAAAAAATTTTCACTTTTAACTGTACAAATTATACAATCATTTCTAAACCCATTCGGAATTTGGTTACATAGTTTATCTAATCTGTTTTCATTTAAAAACTAACATGGTTTTAGAGTCAAAATACCCCCCCCCCCCCCCCCCCCCACACACACACACACACACACACACACACACACACACACACACACACACACACACACACACATGGATTTAAAGGACTTATTTGCTACATATTTAGTAGGTAACCAATGAGGTTATGACCACTCTACATGATATACTCTACATGATATCATTGTATTATTTGTTTGGATCACAATATATTTGATCATCAAAAAACATGGTTATTGTGAAATGAATTATTGCTTTTGAAAACCATCCTCAACCGTATGAGCGTGAACAAATATATGACATTTTAATTAAAGTAACAAACGTTTTTAGTATATAAAAAAATACTACTGATGCAGTGAATCGAATCAAACAAGTTTTGAATCTAATATGTGTCGAAAAATTCTATCAAGTATGTTGTCGTATTTTCAACTTGATGGTTTTAAATACCGTTCCACTAAGTAGAAACTCATCTTTTAAAAATTAAAACTTTAAATGAGATAATTTTTAAAAACTAGAAATATTACATAATAAATATTTACTTTGCAAAAAAAAAAAAAGGTTTAAAAATGGTTGCCAACATACCAACTAGAAGGAAATTATTTTGCAAAAGGACAAAAGGAGCTTTAAAAAGAAATTAGTTGATTTAGGGATAATGATTTGAAAGGGTAATGGACTTTCGACTTTGTTCACATTTAGTCACTAAATTTTTTTTCATTATCTATTTGCCACTGAACTATTGAAACTGTTCACATTTTACCCTTATGACCGGTAACAGCCGGTCATAAGGGTAAAATGTGAATATTTTCTATAGTTCAGTGATAAATAGATAACGAAAAAAAGTTTAGTGACTAAATGTGAACAAAGTTGAAAGTTAGTTTCCCTCTCAAATTATCCTAATATTATACCCCGAAAAATGTATAAAAAAACGAAAAACGAAGCCAATATTATATGTATAAGTTTTATGTTATAGAACTATGCAATATTATATGTATAAAAGTTATCATAATATTATATGTATGAATTTTGTGTTATAAAATTGTGCAACATATAAATTGACATACATTACACCATATACGTTGTTTATAAAAGAATACATACATACATTGATACATTATGTATGTTGTTATACTCCATATATTGACATACATCATATTAGTATATTTACTATTAAAAAGGATATCGAAATTTTCATATTACACACAATATACATTTAGAAGTATTTTTAATATTATTATTCTTTTTTATTTTTCTTATGTAACTTATGTTAACATATACATAAATGGTCCATATTATATTACAATTTCAAAATTAGCCACGTATGTAAAAAATTGTTATAGGAATTCTCCCTCGTTAGTTAGAAATTTTTTACTTTTATTTTTTTTCATTTTTAACGATTGTATTAAAAAAAAAAAAAAAACTGGTATAGTATTAATTTGTCTGTGAGTTTAAAGCATCTTATTTTCATTAAAGAAGAAAAAACGATAAAGAACAATATGATATTTTTATTTTAAACATACACAAAATAGCTTTTCTTGACCAGTTTTGTACAGGAAACACACATAGTCAAATATAAACTGAAACTGCGCAAAGAACTAACCAACAACATCTGAGAGAGGAAAAGAAGTTGATTCTTTAATGAAACTAAGTAGCAACATCAATTTTAAATCTATTATCAATAACTACTAGATTTACATTAAGGATGTCGTCTTCATAAAGATTTCAAGTTAACTTGCATCAGCTCAAACATGAAGTTGAGCATCGATATTTAGATAGAATCAAAACACCCTATTTGTAGCCAATAATATTAGATTAGGTTTCTAAGATAAAAACTAAATTGATATAACTTTATGAACTAAAAACAAAATACTTTTTGGATAACCCTTAATAACTAGAAATAGTTAGGAACAACTTAAGGAGCGTGATGAAATAATTCGATTTTTTATACCTTTTCAGGGTATAATATTAGGATAATTTGAGAGGAAACAAACTTTCAACTTTGTTCACATTTAGTCACTAAACTTTTTTTCAGTATCTATTTGCCACTGAACTATTGAAACTGTTCACATTTTACCCTTATGACCGGTTGTTACCGGTCATAAGGGTAAAATATGAACAGTTTCAATAGTTCAGTGACAAATAAATGATGAAAAAAAGTTTAGTGACTAAATGTGAATAAAGTCAAAAGTCCATTACCCTTTCAAGTCATTATCCCGTTAATTTATATACATATTAAGGCATAACAGCTTTATGAACAGTAAACTATGTGAGGGCCTGTTTTTTTGACATAAATGGTCCTTGAACTTTATTAAGGTTGCCAGTTTTGGCCTACATTTTAATTTTTATTCAGCTTTGGTCCAATTTTTTTTAATAAAGGCATAACTGTTATGAATTAAGCGTAATTAATATAACTATAAATCAAACCAAACTAGTAAACTTTGATAAGAACTTTAATTGAGAAGAAAGAATATTTAGAGAGAATATGAAAGTTATATCTCTTATAACTTTTGGTGTGTCTCATTCTTTACAATGGAGGGGTATTTATACTACAAATTTTACTAACATATAATTGTAACTAGTTAGAAATGTTGACAAATTTACCATGCATCAATTATTATGTCATCCACCAATTATTTACAACACCACCAATTATTTACAACACTCCCCCTTGGATGACATC